CCAAGACGCCCATCACATCGTAAACAGCGCGAGCATCTTTAAACTCCTGCGCGCGAACAAAACTGATCTTGTGTTGCAGCTCATGAAGCTGTTCCAGGAAGCTGCGGTCACTAACATCCGCCTCCATAATGACTCTGAATAACTCCTGAGTAAATAGTATAGGCTGAGAAACAAAACTTTCGCGTACTTTATCATAGTTTGCGGTACGATGATATCATCGACAAATTGGCTGAGCTCTCCGCGCACCTTCTGACGGTTCTCCAGCTCCTAAAACAGCAGCAGTTTATTAAGGTGTAGATTTCACCGCTCTTTTTAGAAATGGAAAAAATATAAGATGTATCCTGCGATGCCACATCCTGATTCCGTTATGCACGAGCAATATTTGCCACTTCGTCATTGCTCATTTCAGTGAACTGACCAAAAGCAAAGCGCTTGTTCACTTGATCCGCTTGACCCACTTCACTATTGGTCAATCACTGAACTGACCAATGACGAAGCGGACCAAGCGGAATAAGAGGATCAAGTATGACGAGTGCTTTGAAAATGAACTTGAAATATCTCACGCAAAGTTCTTTGCAAAAGCTTGGAAGTCATATAAAGTAAAAGATAAACAATGATCTAGATACCTGATTGATCGAAACCGACTGATCCTGCAGCCTTTTCATATCCTCGCTGATAGTCCCTAAGTCATCTTGGAATCTCAATAACATCTTCTCCAATCTCTGAAAGTAAACTAATTGCAATGACGCCAGTAGGTAGCAGGAAAGATAAAAAGACTGATAGTTACAATGAAGATCGAAAAAGTAACGCAAGATCGTACTCACCTCGAAAACCTGATCACATGCCACAATCTGATTGTGGAGGTCTGTCAGCTTCTCAGCATTTTGTATACATTCTCGAACGGCTACTTTATGTGCCTCCGTCAACTCTTCCTTTACCTGCGCTGAAACTAGGTCAAATAATATAAAATATATGTCTTAATAATATGTCTGTATAATATGTCTTTACAGGCTTACCGGAAAAGTTACTGAGATCTTGTTCAGCAGAAAGAGCACTTCGTACGACATTTTCATCGGCTACAGACAATTCAGATAGGCAATCTTCTAGAGACTTGACCTTGTCCGTCGTTTTACCCTTTCTAGCTGCCATCCCTAAAAGAGTGCTAAATGATAGGAAAATTGTGAAAATCTTTTACAGCTTTCGAAAATGAAAATCAAGGTCTTAGTACCGACAGAAACTGAGGCAATTTTGTATGAGCGATAATGAGATTTGCCTTACAGCAAGAAAAGATAATGATGTGTTCATATTTGCGTAGAATTAGAGTGCCTAAATCTTCTTGTATAGAAATTAAAGCCCGCAAATATGTACTAAATGTCCCACAACTTTAGTGAAGGTTATAGTGAAGGAACTAAATGGTCTAGAACGGTAGTGGCAAGATCTGCACAATATTAGTTCAACATATTCGTATTCAATTACACTCTGTCTTCCCCTGTAAACTCTGAAAGTTGATGAAGTTTCATATTTGGATCTATGGAAGGACAAATGGCTACCCACTGCCATTTTCACCTCCACAGACATGAGTTAAAGGCGTGAAGGCGATTCTGTAAGGGCACTTCGACTCCCATTCCTTTATTCTGCAGGAACTCCCAGTTCATCATGACTCTTGTGTTCTTCAAGAAGTCCGTGGCATGGCTATTGCAGATCAATTCGGAAATTTAACCTTCAGTAATGTAAGCTGGGAATTCCAAAAATTATTCG